GCAGGAAAGAACGATCCTGGCTTTGCATAAAGAAAACAACCGGTTAAGGGAATCATGGGAAACTGATTTGCAACAAAAGGAATGCGCATTAAAATTTGCGGTTGAATCCTCAATTGATGAACTGGCCGTGATGGAGAACCGCATGGAAGAACTGCAATTGCAACTGGCTGAAGGGGCCACCAAAGTTACCACCAAAGTCCACTTCTCCCAGGTCACCCTGCAGGAGAGGAGAAGCGAAATCTTCGAACTTGGAAAGAAAATGTCTGTGCAGTCCAAGGAAGTATGTGGTCTAGCTGTAGATCTAGCCTCTGCCAAAAATGAAATGAGACTGTTAAACTTCAGAGCTTTAGAGTTGGCGCAACAAATTGAAGAAGCCAAGCAATTGGCGCTTTTATCCGCGGAATCTAATAAATGTCGTAGATATACTATGTTTCAAGTCAGAGACTAAGTTTAGATTAGGAATATGTATATTAAATTGCAATAGTTATTTTTTGTTTGATTTGCTAATAACAACTTAATAAATAAATAAATGCAATATTTCTCTAATTATTTATTCTTGAAATACGCACTGTAAACATTGTTTTATATCGCGTCTTGAAACTGAAAAGTTCTTTAATCGGCTAGCAGTTAGTTTTCTAACAAAAAAACACAAAATTATATCGAAATCCTATGAAAACTAATGTTTGGTTGCCTACCCAAAACGACTGGCAGCTGACAAGCCACGTGATTCGGATTTCCCACTTAAATATAGACAACCCTATATATCATGATCAACAAACCAAAATCAGATCTTCCATGCAAAACAATTGAGCATCCCATAAACGTCATTTTGTCATTTTTGTGCTTATGTGTGTGCAATTTTCGAAAAAGTTTTCCATTTTTTTCTGAGTAAGTGCATTTTTACTCCAATTGATGTATGGTTGTTTTGTTTAAAGCTACTGCACTGACTTTGGCGCAATTTTCATGCTCCAACTCCCTGTTGTCCAATATTCGATTTTAATATTAAAATTATAGCTTGGCACTTAACCGCACTTATTAGTAATTGCCGTACTTGTTCGAGTTCAGTTAGGTTTTCCTAACCCTATTTAGTACATTTTCAACCCGGAAGTAAATATTTTCGATTATTGCGTAAATAACCCTGTTTAATCCGCATCTACATTTGTCTATCTTCGATTGGACAGACCGTCCATTTCCACAAATTTGCTACTCTGTACGCAGAATTGAGTCCGACACTGTACAAAAATGTCCGAA